ATGAACGTTTCCAATGAGCTGTCCTCCTTTTCTCAAGCCCCACAAAATTAAATGAAGAGAACATTTTTTTTTTAAATTAACTATGTTAAAGTTGTTCATGTACAAGGTTCTTCCCAAGCTGAGCCAATCTACATGGGAAAGTACTAGGATTAGTTGAAATCTACGTCGCATTTTAACTCAACTCTGCTAAAAGCACTCTCTCTCTCTCTACATATTGAAGTTGAGTCATTAATTTTCAGATAATGATTGTAGAAGGAAGATAAACCAAAATATGTGTGTAAAATAAAAAAAAAAAATAAAAAAAATTTTTACCTTGTTTTATAAAGTATCCTCCCGACAAGTATTTCAGTGCGGACCTGTATTTGATCGTGAGGTCTTGGAGCACCTGTGAGGTCCTAAGTCACCTGATTCACGAGCCCGTTGTACTACATTAACAAAGGCACGAGGGGTTGGTTGCACTCGATTGGGAAACCGATCCGCATAAACATGTGCCATTTTTTATTTCGTTTGAGCCACGCAGCAAACACCACTATTCACTCACGCGTTAGCGACTGACACAGACTGAATAAAAACATCGTGATCAGCGTTTCAAATTCTTTCGCTTTTTTGTTTCCGATGCGATGAACCGATAAGGCGGATTATATCCGTTGTTGCCAAACACGAGCACATAATATTATTATTGAGACAGGGCGGTACTCAAACTTCTAAAGGGCTATAACTTTGATACTTTAATTTTACCACAAAAATGTTAAAGGAAAAAAACATTTCTTTTGATCAGATCTACTCACTGTTAAAATAAATGACTCAACTTCGAAGTATATATATATATATATACTATATTTTAAATTCGGAAACGGTTGCAATACATTAGTATTTTCGGAGAGAGAGTCGGAAAATACGAATTTACTCTGAATCGTTTTCATTTTCTCCTGGCTTAATTTGAGCTGGGATTTAAAGATAAATTGCATTAACAGTGGCAATTTCTTCAAGCTTGGTACAAGTAACTGTGGGACTAATCTTGAAACTGAATTTTGAAGCAGTTAACAATTGAGCTGCAATTTTGTATGCCCATCTGGTTCGTGTGAATTAACTGCCGCCATTTTGAATATAATATGGCGTATGCTACGGTATAGCGATTCATCATTTCTGTTTCTCTCATCAAGAGCAAATAGATATAAGAACGGCTATCTTCTCACTCCCTTTTTTTGAAAATCTCACTTTCCTCTAAATTCATGCTGTGGGCTGCCAGCACCCTTGCTATAACTAAACTGTTTGTTTGAAGGAACATGTGGATCTCAACTTTACACCTATAACACCAAGGTTGTACCAAGTACAGCTAGGCATGGGTTATTTGGAATTACCCCAAGTGGAGGTACCACATGGAAAACTAGTGAATACACTTCTGAACAGCAAACATGTCTACATATTGGACTGTTATTTGGATGTTTTCGTATGGTAAGTGAAATATTTTATGGCTATTTAAAAAAGGAATTTTTAAAATCACGACCTCGTATATTTTGTTTTTTTATTTTCCGACTTAGTCCCTTCTAACTTCAAGGTTCTTCTAATTTTTGAAATATTAAATTACGGTGCGTATGTTATTTTCGTACAGTTGCGGCTTTCAATGGGACTGGATATCTTCTTGTGGTATATGTTAATCAATGATTTTGTCAGATTGTCAGTATGAGCAGATGCAAATATAGTTTAATAAGTATTTTAAGTGGGAAAGTGTGAATGTTTGTTTCGCAATCACGCCAACATGGCTGAACGAATCTGGATAAAATTTGGTACAGGGATAGAGTATAGTCTGGTACAGCAAAAAGGCTGCCTTTCATACCTGGAAATAACTTTAAAATAGTTATTTCACAGGGTACAGTCCAAACGGCTTAATGGAATCTGACATGAGGTGTTTGGCGCGAAAGCGCTCAGTCGCTGGTCCGAACGAAATAAGTAGGCGTAATTGTCTTGATTAAGATTTGTTTGATATTGTTTCATTTCAAGTATAGTACCGTGAGTATATAGTTATTTGGTTATTTGTAATACTATCTTCAATGCTTATAGCGGGGTAAGGTACATTTATCGTTATCTAGCAAACTCAAATGGCTGTTGGTCTGGTATCTTCTTACTATCTACATATATCTATAAATCGTGATTCTCTATTCAGTCCGTCAGCATCACGTCCGAACCACAATACGAAGACACGTAAACATTTGTACATTTACTAATTGATACCCGAAGAAGGTTATAGTCATTGTTTTATCCGCGACCTCACAGATGAATTTGCAAACATCTATCGTAAAGGAACAGGAGCAGAAATAGGATTGGTAATTCGAGCGACGTACGTTTCTGCTTATTGGCTTTGTCAGGCCCAAATGGATGTGAATCGAAAACACCGAAGTGACACATATGCCCATCAAATCTCCGCACGGGTGTAACCCGAAGGAAAACACGGATGGAAATTCAACTAGAAGCCAGCGAAAAGAGCCATCAGCCACATAAGCAGAAACTTACGCCGCACAGGTTACAAATCCTTCTTTTTGCCCCTGTTTCTTTATTGCGGGTATGCCCACTAGCCTTTCTTTGTATTTACTCATGTGCTAGAAGTACTACGATAGGTAGCTACAGGTGGCCTCGCTGGCGACGTTGGTTGATACCTCGTGAATACGAGGTCTTCTGACCGAAGTCACAAATGTGCCTGCCGGCTCTTGTTGGTTTCTAGTTGTATTTCACTTCCCATCGTTGTTTTACATCACGTTACATCCGTATCCAGATATGATGGGCATATGTTTTCACTTCAGTGTTTTCGATTAACATATGCCCATCAAATCTCCGCACGGGTGTAACCTGAAGGAAAACACGGATGGAAATTCAACTAGAAGTCACCCAAAAGAGCTATCAGGCACATAAGCAGAAACGTACGCCGCACAGGTTACAAATCCTTCCATTTATGCCCCTGCTCCTTTATTGCAGATATGTTATGCCCACAATTGTCCTTTGCAGCAACAGCGAGGCCAGGCGTCTCTATACTCAATCTGTGACCGTCAAACGATACAGATGTGTTATTTTGCACCAGCTCTTACCCAAAACATTGTTTTTAAGTAATACTAGGACCTTTGGATTACAGTTTATATCTTTGATGGCATTAGTAACTTGCATGCTTGGGGAAATTGGTTACTTTATTAATGGCGCCACCTACACGGTCAGTGGGTAAAACTTCGGGTAGAAGCCTAGCAGGAAATATCCCGAACATTTTATAAGTTTCGTGTTGTTACACTATGCTCATGATGCCGGGCACAGGGCTGTTGAGCGCTACTCCAAAACATTGTTTCAAATCATGTTTTTATACTGTTTGCTATTTACCAACGAGCATAAAAAAACTCAAATGTGAGGTGTTTGTACAAACTGCTCGTTGTTTTTAGGATCGGGAAGAAGTCAACGAAGCTAGTAAACGCAGCCGCTGTGAAATTATCTGAAGAATTGTTTAATATGATTGACAGACCCGAGTATGCTCGAGTGACGAGAGTTAGGGAAGGAACAGAATCACAGGTAATATATTGCATGTTTTGCTTCCCACGTCAAGTTACGCGAAAAAAGTTTGAAATGAATATTACGTTTTTTTATCTTATGTTAATTATACCTAAGCAGTGTAAGCAGAAGCCTAAATACCGGAGCGCCACGACTGCTATAATTGTTGATCCGAATTTAGAACTGTGCAAGAATAGCAGAACTGAAAGAAAACTCCTCAGGCGGAAGGCATTATCAAGCATTCAAAAAGGCATTGAAGACGCTAAGTCTATGAGACAGTAACAGAACCAAACACTATTCTTTCAAGGTGGATTTGTAAATTCATGTTTGTGTTCTGTCTCATAGATGGCGCTAGCATATTTCAGACCCCCCTTTTGGTGCTAGAATACAGTATATAGTTGGCTATCTTCACATCGAATACGTTCGGCACGGGTATTATGTATCTTGAAAAGTGACATTATGTCGATTTTTTTGACATTGTATTGGTTGTGTACGTGTTTGCCTAAACGTCATGATACTTTAGTTATCAATGTTTGTCTCTGATGTGATGTAAAATCTGCTTCAGAGATGGCATTACTGGAAGTCTAATTTGTGTGCTAATAATATGTGTTGATGATAATTCCATTGGACTCTTGTCTCAATACATTTACTTGAGATTCAAATCTAGAAACTAGTTGCGCATCCACTTTTTCTTATTAATTCTGGAAATTACATATGCAAATTTACTGAATCTCAAAAATGAGAGAGATAAGAAAAGCAAATCCCTGGTTGGTGAAGGAACAGGTGAGAACATATGCTACAGACAGGAATATTTATGAAAGTGAAAAGGATATTACATTTTTTTATTTCCAGTCATTTAAATTTTATAGAAATTTATTTTGCGATGTCAACAAAAATTACAAATCAGCGCCTATATGTTAGGCATTGCGAAACTGTTTCATGTGTAATGCATCATTACTAATTTTTCTGTGATGTGTCTTAATTGCATACAACGCGGGCGCGGTTATGATTTCTCGTAGTGTTGCTCACAGTTTTTGAAAAAACGGGAAAAATCTTAATTTACAACTTTGAACTAAACTGTATTCAGAAGGACAACATATAAATAAACCGTAGGGTACACCTAATATGGTGGTATACTTCATTGGCAGCATATTCAGTAACAATTTTCTAACACAGTAAATATTACTGATTTTATACCCATGCAGACCAATACACATAATCATCCAGATGTGAGCTTGCTATTCAACCAACTTTCTTTGTTTCACATCTTCTCAGAGATGAAAACTACAGACACTCGGCTTCACAAACATATGCAACCAACAATGCTTGTAGTTGAGTCATTCCTCCATAGAAGGACGCTCACAACGATCCTAGAGAAAACGTGGGATGACTGTTTGCACCCTAAAAACTACCTAGTCTGCAATATGACATTTTATACGTTTTTTTGACGTTTTATAGATTTTTTTATATAATACCCGTGCCGATTCTGGTTTCGTAAGCGTGTTCATTGCAAAGGTCCCAGTTACGAGGGCGTTATATATTTTCCACATTACTACAATACAAAATTACCATATTATATTTATATTGAATTGATTTTCTCTAGTCCTTAATCTCGTAGATAATTTATTGCTACTACCGTGTTATGTGTTATAACGAGACTCACGCACAAGGATATTTTCCTTTTGAGGTATATCCATTTATTTGCAGTTTATAGTTGTGTAAATAAATATTACTATTATTAATCTACTTGATCACATTTTCAGATTTTCAAAGCGAAATTCATCGGTTGGGACGAAGTTATAGCCGTAGATTTCACTCGTACGGCCCAATCTGTCCGTAAGACGGGCGCTGACTTGACCCAATGGGCCCGAAAGCAAGAGACGAAAGCGGATTTGTACGCGCTGTTCATGCCCAGGCAGCCTCCCATGCCTGCGCAAGAGGCCATGCAATTGGCCGATGAGTGGAATGAGGACCTGGAGGCCATGGAAGCATTGGTATTGGATGGGAAAAAGTTTGTTAAGTTGCCACAGGAGGAGATGGGCACGTTCTATTCGCAGGTGAGAAATCAGATCATTCATAATCGAACCTAAAAGTCGCTCCTGGGGTCATTCAGCAGAAAAAAAAGCGCAAGTCTTCAAGTGTCGCCTATTTAATAATAATAATAATAATAATAATAATAATAATAATAATAATAAATGACCTTTATTCGTCACATAATTACAAATAGGTATAGTGACGAAAAGGTCAGCTTACGCTGTTTTTCAACCCGACCTAAAAAAACAGTGACACAAACTATAAAGGAAAAAAGTACCTACATTAAATTGCACAGTTCGCAACATTGACCACCAAAAGAGAAAAGCTTAAAATATTACACTTCTCAGAAAAGGAAACAATCAATTACCTGTGGATATATGTAAAGTTAAATTCTAACCATCCGATTGCTTTAAGCTCATCTTTAAACTTTTTTTGAAGTTGCTAAGGCTCTATTCTTATGCTCTCTTGACAAGCAGTTATATAGTTTGGGTGCCCAGTACGAGAAACTACGTGTGAACAATGCTGTCGAATGCCGCGGGTTGAGTAAGATGCATTTATTCCTAGAGTATCTTTGATCGTACTGACAGAGGCGGGATAGCTTTGAATAAAGATGAAAACAAACCATTGAGTAGCGTTTATATGTAAAGGGTTGGCCATCTAGTGGTTTCTTTTTTAATCATAGGTTATCTCGACACTGACAGTTCACTTTTGCCATGTTACCAAAAAGTTAGTATCATACCTCCGCGGCGTAAAATGAATCGTTTTATGCTTAAACAATGTTGGGAAATATTGAAAGTTCATTTCCAAAGTCAGTGCAGTGTAGCTTAAACAGTGCGAATTTTGAAAACAAATTTTTACCGAAAGGAGGCACCCACAGTGGCTGTTGTACGCAAATTTGTTCAAAAAGTCCGTGAGACGGGCATGTTCGTGGACAAGACTCTCGGTCCACGTACTCGTACGGTGCGCACAGTCGACAATGTGAATGCTGTAGCCAAAAGTGTGTGATTTAATGCAGAACATCAACCTTTCGTCGATCGAAACAACTCAACATTAGTCGCACTAGCCTGAGGAGAATTTTACACAAAGACCTTGGATTATTCGCTTACAAGATCCAATTGACCCAAGAATTGAAATTCCAAGACCATTTGTTTCGCTAACGCTTCTCAGTTTGGGACTTAGAACAGCTCGAAATAGATGAAGATTTTGGACGAAAAATCATCTTTTCGGATGAGGCGCATTTCCATCTTGGCAGATGTGTTAAGAAGCAAAACTGCCGCACCTGGGCCTCGGAAAACCCGCACGTGGTCGTCGAGAAGCCCAGGCATCCTCAGCGAGTGACAGTTTGGTGCGGATTGTGGAGTGGTGGCATCGTTGTGCCACTTTTCTTCGAGAATGAGGTTGGCAACGCCGTGACAGTCTGGACATCCAATCAAACGATTGATCTTTTGCACACCAAATTTGCTATTCAGCTGTCGTGGCGATGTCAATTGGCCGCCTTGAAGTTGCGACTTAACGCGTTCTTTTTGTGGGGTACCATAAAAGATCAATGTTATGTTGACAACCTACAAGCGATTCTGGCACTTAAGTTGAATATTCATCGAGCCATTCGACAGATACAGCCCGACACTGTCAACAACGTCTTGAAAAATTGGATCGACAGGATTCGCTACTGCGAACGTAGCCGAGGGAACCATATAAATGAAATCGTGTTTCATAATTATTGGGAATGTTTGTTATTTCCAATAAAGCCAAATAATTGAAAAAAATGATTCCTATTTTACTGCGTGATGAGATAAAAATTCTATTTGGCACACCCTTTATTTGAAAGCCTGCACACCTGCTCAGTTGGGAAGACGACTGATTTACCGGTACCGGTGAGAAAGGTAAGAAAAAATAGAACTGACTTAAATTCTAATGGCTGGTTTTTATATACACTTTGTAGAACATTACAAAGTAATAGCCAGTACTGCCAGACACTTTCCACTAGTCATAACTTCTGCCAAACCCCAAGGCACCCCACTCTAAATAAATTGATCTCTTGTAACGAGTCAACAAAGCTGAAGTTCATCCATGGGTTGCGTCTGCAAGTAAGAAAATACAGAATTGGTTTCATCTTTCAATGAAAACCCTCCTAGGGAAAATACAAATACAGAGGCAATAAATCCAATGTCACAATACACGTGAAGCGTGAAGTATCCTCTAACTTAGCCGGAACGGAGCATGTCCAAACAAGACTGCGGAACTACTTTCAATCAGTAGAGAGCAACTCCGTCCAGTTACAGGTCTTTTAACAGGCCACAGTGGCCTGAAAGAATGGCTGAGCAAAATGCATGGAGAGCTTAGCAATGCAATGCGGTAAAAGAACAGAATTCGCCATACTTGTCTTATGTGAGTGCGAGGCGCTGGATCACAAAAGGCACCAACTCTTCGGTAAATCAACACTATAACCAAGGGAGCCTAGAACAGTTAAATACGGACTGACATTTATTTTAACGATGAAAACAATCATGATCCGAAATAACATTTAAACCAAACCCCTATAAAGCCATGCAACTTTGAAATATTCATTCACTTTTGTTGTGCCATAATAATACTATTTAATTAGTTTGAAAAAATCAATATTTTGAACTCACTTTTCTCAGTCTTCGATCTCTACACTTTACTTCTTTTTATCTGAGTACGGCAGTGTAGCAAAGTCGCTCCCGGAATTGGTTCTCAAAAAATTATCGTCATAGTCCACCAGTCTTATCTCTAAAGACGAAATTAACTTTGCGATGAAGCGTTTATTGATATGAAGAACCTAGTAACACATTAATTTGCCTGAAATATTTAATAAATGGGCGTCAAAAGCTGCTGAAAGATAATGAGTAATATCAATTTTTAAAAAGTGACCTGTGACCTGGAGAACAAGTATTGAATGATCTAATTATTTCAGGACTGTTACGTTTTCCTATGTCGTTATTGGATGCCAGTGCCTGATGACGTTGACGATCCTTCATCACATGTTGCAGATGACGATGCCGATGATTTCCAATGGGTTTGTTACTTCTGGCAAGGGCGAGATGCCTCCAATATGGGTGAGGATTTCACCAAATTCTAGTTCTTCTTGTATAGCACTGTCATTTTTGCGTTTTTAACTTACCCATGATGGCTATTGATACGAATACTAAGATCAAAAATTCGGTTTCGCATTTTTTACAGAGAAGTATGTCCCTGCTTAAGGTCATGTCATATTAATGCAACATCCTTTTGGATGTGGGTAAACTCACTAAAGCATATATTTTTTTATTATTTTAGGGTGGTTAACCTTCACATTTACGCTCCAGAAAAAATTCAAGGCACTGTTTGGTGACAAGTTAGAGGTAGTACGGACTTATCAGCAACAAGAAAACATGAAGTTCCTAGCCCATTTTAAGCGAAAATTCATTGTGAAACGTGGTAGCCGACGAAAGAGCAAGGAAGAAAAACCTCAGGTAAATGATGAAAGTATATCTTCTACAACAATTGCAATTTATTAAAACATTATAAAAGATTCCATGTGGTGTACAATTTATAAAAAATCTATCATGGCTGAAATGGACATGTTAGCCTTCTGCCTCTATGGCCATGACCAAGCGCAGACAGCGCTGTGTTAGGCTTATCAGTGCAATATAGGTCTTAGGTCTAGTCTTGGGGACAGAAACGGGGAACAAACAAGTATGCTGTTTTCAAAAACTCCAAACATGGTGCGCAAGTAGGTGAAAATCTGACAATCGCCACCTACCAATGGCTTGACAAACTGATTTTTATCCTCATCCTATACAATGAAGATGACACAGACTTTTACATCCTCCGACTCATAACCGCTCGACGTTCTGCATTGTGTACAGATAGACGTCGCACTGTACTGCCATCACGGTTGACTATCAAATGATCGGCACGGGTATTACGTATCTTTAAAAGTGGCATTATGTCTATTTTTTGATGTTATATTTGTTTTTTGTGATATGTAGGTTTTTCTGCAAGGTGTTAACTTAGCAGTAGCCGATGGACACGTTGTGAACTAGTTTTGTAGTTGTACGTGTTGCCTAGACGTCATGAGGCGTCAGTTATCTATGTTTGGCTCTGATGTGATGTAAAATCTGCTTCAGAGAAGGCATTACTTGAGGTTCAAAGCTAAAAATTAGTTGCGCATCCCCTTTTTCTAATCCATTCTGGAAATTACATATGCAAATTTGCTGAATTTAATAAATGAGAGAGATAAGAAATAATTATATTCACTATACACTGTCGAATTACAAGTCACATATATGCTAACAGTAATTACAGACAAATCGGACGCGGTGGTGATTTCCCGTAATTCTCCTCGACGTTTTTGAAAACAGAAAAAAACGTAAAAATTCGTAATTTATAACTTTGAACATAACCTGTCTTCAGAAAGGACAACATATAAATAAGCCGTCGGGCACAGCTAATAGATATACTTTTCATTGGCAGTTCAGTAATGATTTTCTCATACAGCAAATATCACTGATTTTATACATATGCAGACCAATACACACAATCATCCATGTGCGATCTTGCTATTCAACCAACTTTCTTCTCAGAGATTAAAACTATAGACTACTCAGCTTCACAAAACATATGCAACCAACAATGCATGTAGTTGAGCTTTTCCTCCATAGATGAACGCTCACAACGATTCTAGTGAGCAAACGTGGAATGACTGCTTGCATCCTAAAAACTACCTAGTCTGCAAGATGACATTTTATAGTTTTTTTTTTGAGGTTTTATAGGTTTCTTACATAATACCCGTGCCAAATGTGGCATTGACATGTATTTCATATGTCAGAATATCCTGTCTGCATTGCCGGATATTGCGATAAGGTTGCAATTCCAAAGATTTTTCCAATTATCCGAAAAACTCAGTGTTTTAACAAAATAGAATAAATGCGGACTCTAATTGTCCATGGATGACGTCATATAGTAGTAGAGTATAAGGCCGAGACTCTTAACAGGTAGAGTATTGCCGTTTGATAAGAGCATGGGAGCTCCACGTTTGCCAGATGGTCGCACTAACAATTTGTCTATTATGGAAGTATAACGGACTGGCGCGCTCTTGAGGTCAATTGTGAAATTGATGATGTGTCACTTATTTAAGGAATAATCAAAAATCAACCAGATTTCTCATTCTAGATATTTCAGGCAATAATATTGTATATATTAACTCTGGAATATATCCCTTATAAATGTTGTGCAAAAATGTTGTATCAATGCTTCCGCTGAGAACAACTTGTCCGCTAAAGTAATAACACAATCATTTTGAGTACCGAGCTAATATACCGTATATAAAATATTATATTTGTATAAACGTTCGCGCACAGTTCTAAATTTATCCTATAAGGTGTTATATAAGTATACTACAAAATGTTTTATACACCACATTTTCGAGCAAATATGCCACAGGAAACAAATTTACATTTCACACAACATTAAGTCAGCATTTTGGTGATCGAGAAAAGAAAGGTTTTACGGCTTAACAGTTTTTTTAGCACCACTTTGCTAGTTGGCATAGCGCAGAACGTGGAGAGGTTATAAGTCAGAGGACATAAGGGTATATGTGTCGTCTTCATCGTATGGAATGAGGATTAAAATCAGTCTGGCAAACCATTGATAGGTGGCGATCGTCAGATATAATTCATGTAGTGTATCTAAGGGTTTTCGTATTTTTTTAGGTTGAATTTTATCAGATGAGATCAAATGGCAGTGCTTTATACACAAGATTGGTACAAATACAGCCAGATGCTTCTCTGCTGAACTCTGCTTTCTGGTAAATAACAGCTTTTTTCAGTGTTATTAGAAAAAAGGATGTGTCTATAAAAAATTAAAACAACGGTTTATCAACATTCTTTGCATTATACTTTTAGCCAAATTTTTTATTTCAATGTATTTTACAGCTATATCTTGAATGTACCTTTCGAACAAGATGATTCTGGTATAGTATATGTCTGGATAGGCTCAAAGTCTGATCCAGATGAAGCAAGATTGATTCAAGAGATAGCCGAGGAAATGTTCAATAGTCCGTGGGTCACATTACAGGTGAGACCATTTGTTTTTACAGAGGATGTAACTTATACTTAATGGCACAAAACCACAAGATAAATTTCAGGAGTTACATTAACTTGAATGTCGGTATCTTGAAATTCTTTTACATCATAAACAAATTGTTAAAAAATTAAGAGAGCGCATTTGACATTGACAAGTAGAAAATGCAGCTAATGTTAAAAATTCCGTTAATATCTGAACTTTTCAAACAGACAACGTTGACGAGCACTGTTACTATGGTTATGATGTCTATCAGAAAAATATAAAACGCCTAAGTCGTGTACCTTTCAAATTACAATCTTTAAAAGATCGGAAGCTAAATTTCCAATTGCTTCTACATTCCTCATAAATGAGGTCCATGTTGCCGTATTCCTGTTCGGATTACACAGACATGAATTAATAAAAGTGTCGTTACTATCTGTCTCACTGTCACTACGTAAAATGATACTGACTTACTTCGCATAGGAACAGATTTAAATTTGTAGTAATGGAAACTTATTCCCCGTTTTCGGCTTGACGCCGACTTCTGACCCTGTATAAAAATGATATTTTCGGTTATTACCATTTCTGGATACAGTTACCTTGGTTTGGCAGTACCTCATACCGTTCTTTTTTCAGTTCATAAAAATTACTTTACCTTGATAATTTTCATTTTTTCAGGTATTATCAGAAGGCGAAGAACCCGACAATTTCTTCTGGTTAGGGCTTGGCGGAAAGAAGCCTTATGAGAAAGATGCAACTTTCATGGAATACACAAGACTTTTTAGGTGTTCAAATGAAAAAGGTTACTTAGTGTTTCAGAAAAATGCTCAGACTTTTGTCAGGTAACAAAATATTATTTCTTGCAGAGTTACTTTTTTTTGTCAAAACTCGTAATTTTCGGTTTTCCAAAAACATTGTTTATACAAGGTGTGTTTAATTGTAGGATGACTTGGCAGATGATGATATTATGATTTTGGACAATGGAGAACAAGTTTTCCTATGGCTGGGTGCAAATTGCAGTGAAGTCGAAATTAAGCTAGCATATAAGTCTGCACAGGTAAGATGTATGATGTTTCCTTTTAGTCTAAGATCCGAGTTAGAAACGACCTTCATGTATCTGTTTAAAAGGTAAAGGGTCTAGATTAGAAGCGCTCGATTTTTGTAACGCAATAAAACAAATTCTGAGAATGATAGTAATATATTTTTAGTTTTATTATAAAGTACATGTGTTAACATTATGTTACAAAAATTATATCAGGTAAATGTCCTCCGCGGCTTTGCCTGGTTTGTTGAATCCTGGATATGCAATTTGAGATGACGTTATCGCATAAAAGTGGCTCAATTTCAGCAATAACGCGCCTAATGTTGGCATTTCAGGCGGTAAACGTCTGCGGTTTGTTAGCATAGACTTTGGATTTTAGAAAGCCCCAGACAAAAATCCTTCAAATTTCTCATGCAATAGTGTCAGTGTATCTCGTGTCGTATGGCATGTAGCACCGTCTTGCTGAAACCACATGTTTGTTAGATCGATTCCACCCACTGCAGACCAAAAAATCTCTTATTATTCCACTGGACCACAGTGCACACCATACAGTAACTTTTCAAGATGTAGTGGGATCCCATGAATCTACCGTGGGTTTTCGTCGCTTCAATTTCGGCAATTCTGCTTGTTAACAGAGCCACTCGACAAAAATCAAGATCGACCTCCAGCTGCTCTAGCGCCCAATTAGCAAAGCATGCCCCTGCCTATGATCGTTGGCCTTTAGTTCTTGTAAAACCCTAAGTCCTTATGAACGATTCGCCAAATTGTCGTCGAAGACATGCCAAGTTCCTGAGCCCGACGCGGAATGGACTGTTGCGAATTCTTATGCACCCTCTCTCGAACTGCAGCAATATTTTCAAGGATCTTGCATTTTGCTGACGTACAGGCACTTTCTGTTCTGCCACAGAACCAGTAGTTTCGAATCTGTTTATTAAACGGCGAATTGTGGATTCTGCAGGACGAGACTATCATTAATTGAGGGTGTAGTGTCCCATGTTCAGCAGTCCTAGCCGGTATTGCCGCGTACCATATCAGCGGTATCAGATATTCATTGCAATTGTAAACATAATCTTCCGATATGATCCAGTGTAGTTTGTGTGAAGCAATGAGTCCGAAAAGAAGATACCATAAAATTTATGAAAGACCTCTATAATAAATTAGTAATTCTGGAAGACCATAAGTATTTACCATAAACGGAAAAATATCTACTTTTTCGAAGTATTTTTCGCTGATGCTATATTCACAATCTATTGCATTTGCTAATGGGAAAACACTCGCGGTAGATTTAAAAAGTTAAAACGCAACGTCATTGGCCTAACATCACCATTTGCGACTTGTAACTAGTCAAACCGTTTGTTGATCGGGGAGTTCGATTAAAAATGGCCCGCGTTCATTCTTATACCCGTTTTACATCAACAATTTCTTCACGAGTTTATTCAGAAGGATGTCTTCAAGGTCGTGTTGAGATCCGCTTTTTTACTTTTGAATTGACATTTTTTGTGCACTCAGAGTGTGACGCTCCCGAACTGCTCTAGCAAATGTGCACGGGAACGCGACGATAAAAACCTAACGTGTTTTTTGATGTTTTGCTTTGATGTTGACAATTTGTATCACACTGCAAAACTTACAATGAAAATGTCAACACATTTTCCTTTATTTTCAGAAGCATTATCAGACTATCCAATTGATGCCTGATGATGCTTTTAGAATGATGGCGCAACACGTCTGCAATTTTTATTGTAAAGCTTCTGGTTAAATGTGTCGAATTCATATTTTATTGTAGACATTCAAAATTATTTTCAAAGTATCTAGTTATAGATGAAGCTAACTACAAGCCGCTATGAACTTGGCTTCTTGCCTTGTCTTGTGATCTTTATTATTCAGGGACATTTTAAATGTACATTATAATCAAATTCAAGCGGATAACCAAATGGAAATGGTATTTACCATTTTGGATTGGTATTTACCGATCCGTTCAAGCGAGTGTGGTTATCAGTTTGGTTATAAGATCCGTGACGTCACGAATCAGCTGTTATATGTTATAGTTATCACCGCAAAATTGTGGTATTTACCCAACTCCGGAGTAATTTTATATTTCTGGTTATTATTTGACATGTGACAAGTTAGAATTTTGCCGGGTATTGGATATATTTATTGTACTTCAGCTTCATTTTTGGGAAACTTGATACAGGCTGACTTCAGTTTTAGCATAAGAGAGCACCTTATTATTTATAATCATCACTGTTGTTGGGGACACTTTAAATCTAGTTCCTACACTTAAAAAAGTATCCTGTATAGTCATATACCACAAGAATATTAAAATATGGCTGTATAAACTCACTGGATGATGTCCACCTGTATACGGTTTTGTTAATATCTTTTTTTCATCGCTTTTTCATCATTTCTGCTAAATCAATAAATATTTTCTTTGACATGCGCAAAAGTTTA